AAAAAATACAGAATCCCAGGCCTCCCTTAGAGATTCTGACTCTGTTCTGCAGTAGAGCCTGAGAATCTGTATTTTAAACAATTGGTCTAGACAAATCTAATTGTCACATTAATTCAGGAAACACTGCCTTAACTCAAAAGAATGGACAGATAGTGATAGACCCAGGCAGAGGACGTTTTATGTAGAAGACGCCCTCCAGGATCCATGATGTCATCTATTATTTACCTCACCTTTCCACCCTGTAAGATTTGTGCTGGAGTATCTTAGCATATGCACCTTGCAGCAAAAAGAGAAAAAGTAACCATTTTCGTGTTTAGTGATTATGACATTCTTCAGCACTAAATCCCACAATGGTGATCAAGGCATTCTGACATAGGATCCACTTTGTTCCTACTAATCCTCCCCTAAGCCCACATGAAACTTCAACCAGACTGAGAGGATCACCTGCAGCCTGTCCAGCATCTTTCCACCAGTTAGAAGAAGGCATCCTTGTTTTCTGGATGACTGCAACTCCGGGTCACCAGCTTGGTGAGGGCACAGCCCCATTGTGTGACTTTTCTCCAGGTAGATGAATCTCATGCCACAGCACATGGCTTGGCAAGCAGAACGTGTGCTGGATTTCAGATCCATATACAGCCCCCGAGAGGGAACCAGGGAAGTCCTATGACTGGGAGAACATGTTTGTAAAGTGATGTAAGACTGGCCCAAAAAGAAGGAAAAGGAGAAAGAGAATCAACTCTTGACATGGTTAAGACAAAAAGAGGATAGTTGAAAAAACTTGGGCAAAAAGTAAATGGTAGGTCTCTCAAAGGAGGCTCATGTGAACACCATGCATACTTGCTCAGGTAGAAACACGAAGTGGGAGCGTGCTGCTTACAGTGTCCCAGATGGAACAGTATGGTTATTCATACTTTTCTGTCCTAAGCATGCAGGGGTCCCAGGGTGGTACTGGGTCCTTCCTACCTCTAAGCTCCTTTGCGTTCTTCCTTGGGGGATATCTGATTTTCTCTTTCACTCATGGCTGTCAGTGGGAGCTGGTGTGGACCTGGCCATCCTAAAGTCAATTTGAGGAAATGCATAATCTGATAGCATGAATACAGGGTCACTAGGTCACCCCCATAACTTATACTGAAACCTTCTAAGCTCCCAAAGGGACACACCCATTGACATCCCCCTGGTGGGGTTTTTATGAACCCTGAGGGAGGTTCCAGAAAACTGACTTAGAATCATTGATCCCTCCCTCAATAGGGATATAATTATTATTGCTTGCTTTTGCTATTGGTAGCTTACACAATTCAACTAAGTATCCTTATTGACTCATGATTTTTTTAAATCTTCCTAGAATCCTGGAGGCAATGAGCAAACAGGATGAAGGGTAATTAAACTGGCTTTTAGTTACAGGAAGCCCTGTGGAAAAAAAGAGCACTGGAGATCTAGAAACAGGGCCCAGAAGAATTTTTGAGGTTCATCTCAGGTGGGCAAGCCTCCGGCACTCCAGTCCCCTGGACCCGCCTTTTAAACGCTTATTCTGTCTCTTTCTAACTCCTTTGTCTCTGCCGGACTCGGGGTACCTGCCGGGTGGTGTGGGACTGGTTTCCCCAACATATTTGTCTCCATACAACTTCACGGATGACACCCTGCCTGCTAGGTCAGTTGTTCTCCAGCCAAGAACACTATTACGGCTGCCTGGCTTCTGCCTGAGCAGCGTCAGGTGTGAGGAGCGTGCATGGCAGCTGCCCAGTGGCAGGTAAGTCAGCTGGACACACCTTGTACTGTCTCAGAAGTCAGAAGAATGCTTGCTCCTGCAGCTAGCCCAGGCTGCCTGGGTGAGAGGCTTTTCTCTCTATATATCTATGTTTGTTTGGTGTGATGAGTCCTGATGTGAGTCTCTGACATCACATCATTTCAGAGCGAATAAAACGTGGGAGCACCAAGAATAACAAGAAAAGTCTTTGCAAAGAAGGAAAGAGGAGTAAACCAGATGGCTCTGGCTGGCTCCTCATGGCACACTGTGTCCTAGCTGATGGAAAGAAGAGCGAGGCTTTGGGTAGAACTCCTGCCATTTTATGGCTTGAGGAGGCTGAGCCAGTGATGAGCCTTGGGGACGGGTGAGAGAGTCCTGGTGTGTCTGGGTGCTCTGCCAAGTAGTGAGGGTGGTGCTGAGGTCGCCATCCTAGGTACACAGACATCCTCCTGGGGAAGCTTCACCAAGCGTATTTGCATGGGCAATGTCTGACCCACCCAGGTAAGCCAGGGCTTGTGGAGCTGACAGTCTTCCCGCTGTTTCATCCACTCTCTTGCCCTGTATCACTCTTCCCTTCATCCCTGTCTGCCTGTCTTTTTCTCTCTCTTTCCTAGACGCGCCCACTCATTTATTCATCTATGTAACTTCTATGTATGAATAGAAACGAGTAGTGAATGAGACATTCACGGAAACAGCCCTTATGAAACTTGCTTTCCATAAAGCGGTACCACAATAAAATATGATGAGTCTTAGGAAGGAGGACGTAAAAAGTGTTGTGGGTGCCTTAGGCCTCCTCTTCTCTCCTTTTATTCTCTCCTTCTGTCCCATCACACTTTCCCTTCTGTCCCATCACACTGTCCCATCACACTTTTTTTTTCTTCTTGTCTCCATACAAACTCTTTCACTCTCTTTCCCTGGACTCCCTCACTTCTCTGCTCCTTTCCTGTCCCAGCTCTTTTCTCCTCTGTCATCTCCCTTCTCACTCTCTTCGATCTTTCCCTGATGGCTTCTTTCCCTTCCGTTTTCTCTTCTTGCCTTTCCTTCCACCCGTCTCCCAGCCTCACCCTGAACCCTGACAATGCTCAGTTCTCGTTTTAAAAGACACTTTCCCCAACTTCAGCCCCATGTGCACACACCGGGGCAGTCACATCCCCGCTCACACATAAAACACCTCCCTAAGGGGTTCCAGCATTTGATCCTGTTACCTGGGGAGCAGGGGGAAATGGCTGCTTCCCTTGCTGAAGTTGGATGCGCAGGCTCATAAAATTCAGAGGCATTAGAGTTCCATGGTGAGCCGGAATCACAAACAAACCCCAGAATGTGTTGAAATCTTACCCTTAATTTTAAATGAGGAGGTTAAAATTTGGCACAGAGCAGTTTATAGATCACCTTCTGCATCCACTTCACAACTCTGTTAGGTCAGGTGGATAACTATCATTATTATCATTATCTCCATTTACAGACCAGGAACCTGAGGCTGAGAGAGAGAAGCACTTGCTCAAAGTCACACAACCACAGTGGCACATCAGGATTTGATCTTAGGTCCTCTAACAAAGCCCTCATTAGTTCATGATAGGAGCACACAGCAAAATGGAAGTGAGGCCTTTGCCCCAGAGATTGCCACCTCTCTTGTACAGCCCCTACCACACATAGGCCTAAGGACAGGGCTACGCTAGACATCCCTAAGGCCCTTGGGATTCTTATTCTGTCTCGTTGCCTGCATATATGTAGATATAATGACAATGTATGTGCACAAGCCCACACACGTGCTCACCTCCCCCATACTGATGGCTCTAATTTCCACGTCTACTCACTTCGCTCTCAATCCCCATCTCCCATCTGAAGGCACCGAATTCAGTGTCAGATGCTTCAATGAGCGACTGAGATGAAAGTGTGACCTCTTGGCCATTTTCCCCTCCACATCCCTTTTTCCTAAGGGCCCATAAACACACACACACGCACACGCGTGCACACACACGCCTTCCAGGCTAGCGTTGTAAACTTACTCAGATGCTTCAGTTCCGTCTCCAACTGGGAGAGTCTTCTTATCACTGCCCCATCGCGCTCTTTCAGATGTAAAGGAAGCTCCTTGTGGAGACCACCCATAAACGGGTTTCGTAAAGTCCCCTTGCTAAAAAATACCAGAAGGAGATTGACAGTAATGGCCAGAGTCAGCCCAATGCAGAGGGCTTTGGAGCGTTTTCTCCAAAACGTCATCTTCTTCCTGGGGCTCGTCCACTCCCTGTGGGGTTGAGTGTGTCACTGCCAGAACAGGCTAAGAATCAGAACCAGCCCAGCTTTTGTGGGAAAGAGAGGTTCTGGGGTGCCAGCTGAGTTGGTCTCCCCTGTGTAGACACCTATGGGAAGCCATGGGCGGCCTCTGAGGAGAAAAGTCTCTTATTGCCTTCTTTGTCTTTATGCCCCGAGAGCATAACCGCTCAGCATTCCACAGGTTGCTCAGGGAGATCACACTCCCTTGAAGCAGTGGAATATAATCAAACATCTTGGCTCCTCCTGAAACCCACTCCCACCCATTTCAGTCCCGGTAAGTTAAAGATCTTAAGTAGTTTAGACACACGCCTTTGCCCAAGGAAATTCACAGCAACCGCCACTGCTGTACATCTTATTGAATGACTCATGATTCTCTTTTACTGATTAATCCTTTTCCTCATCCCGTCTTCCCCTTCCCATCTGCCCTAAGAACAAAGATCCTGTAAAGCAATAAATTGGGTGGAGCCCGAGAGCTCTGGAACGGGAGCAAGCCTCCGATGCTCTGGTCCCCTGCACCTGCCTTTTAAACACTTATTCTGTCTCTTTCTAACTCCTTTGTCTCCGCCGGACTGGGGGTACCTGCCAGGTGGTGTGGGACTGGTTTCCCCAACAGCTTTGTCTCCACCCAACTTCATAGATGACACCCTGCCCGCTAGGCCAGATGTTCTTCGGCCAAGAACACTATTACAGCTGCCTGGCTTCTGCCTGAGCAGCGTCAGGTGTGAGGAGCATGCATGGCAGCTGCACAGCGGCAGGTAAGTCACCTGGACACACCTTGTACTGTCTCAGAAGTCAGAAGAATGCTTGCTCCTGCAGCTAGCCCAGGCTGCCTGGGTGAGAGGCTTTTCTCTATATATATCTATGTTTGTTTGATGTTTAATGTTCTGTGTCCCTGGAAAAACCACCTGGGAGACTCTGATAGGGCATGTGAGGTCTGGTCCTGTGGGTGTAAGAAGGGGATAAATAGGATGAAAGAGAAATCAAAAGGCGAGAAGTCTCTGTACACTCAGATCCTCGCTTTTTTGGAGAGCCGGGATCTAAGATGTCTTTTTACCTCACTCTACAGGGTTCTGGACACAGTAGGTGTGCAACAAATGCTTGTCCCACAAACTTAAGGAGAGATTTTCTTGCTAGTTCCTGGGACCTCAGGAGGTCCTGCCTAGAAGCAGGTGGAGAGGAGCTGGAGGCAGTGCCCAGGGGTTGAGCCTCAAGGGATGACCCTGATTCACTGGTCTCTGTCCTTGCTTGTCGTCTGCACAACTTCATACACTGGGCTTCTACCTTGCCCCAGCTTCCAGTAACTCCTTTGCCTCCACACCTCACACTTATAAGATGTTTTGGACGAATCACCAATGATCATCATTGTAGAAAAAACACTTAAAATTGTTCCCCAAGGCTAAAAGTTTTAAGTTCTCAGTCTACTGTCAATCCCGTCAAAATCACAGCTTCCACCCCAGCCTGGCTCTTTGGACTATTTACTAGGTCCCAAACACAGCACATGGTGACATGTGCTGAGGCAGACATGTGGATTAAAGGAAAGAAATGAGGCCTTAGGAAAAACAGGACAAAAATGAACAAAATGAAAAGGAATCACTTCTTTTGTTTCGCAGGGATAGAAAATGTCTCCCAGCCTCCCACTTGCAAATTAGGCTCAAAACATAAAAAACGCACGATCCAGCCAGGCACGGTGGCTCATTCCTGTAATCCCAGCACTTTGGGAGTCCGAGGTGGGTGGATCACCTGAGGTCAGGAGTTCAAGACCAGCCTGGCCAACATGGCAAAACCCCGTCTCTACTAAAAATAACAAAATTAGCTGAGCATGGTGGCAGGCGCCTGTCATCCCAGCGACTCGGGAGGCAGAGGCAGGAAAATCGCTTGACCCAGGAGGCGGAGGTTGCAGTGAGTTGAGATCGTGCCATTGCACTCCAGCCTGGGCAACAAGAACAAAACTCCATCTCAGAAAAAAAAAAAAAAAAATGATCCCTTCTCCTTCTAGGACAAGATGAAATACATACATTTATCTTCTCTATTCCTTCCCACTAAGGCAAGTAAAAACTACACATGATATGTAAAACAAACCGAAGAAGACTGAAAGGTAGAGAGAAGAGGCAGGCTGACTAGAGATCTCCAGATATCCTAGCTATATTAGGAAATGATGCTGGAGCAGTCAATAATTTGGAAATGCCAAGGGGCAGAGACAATAAAAGACCCAAGAAAAAGCTGCTTTCTCTAACCAAAGAAACAGGAAATGGGAAGCCTAGCAACACGGAAAATGTTTAGACAACAACTGCCCTACACCAGCCAAATGCCACTGAAAACCTTGCAGTGCCATGCCTACGCCATCCACAGAGGCCTCGTGGGGAGCCTAGACTTCCAACCTCACCCCAGCTGTGCGGATGGGCCCCTGCACCCCCACCTTCCCCTCCAGGGTGATGTCAGTGAGGGTCTCTTGGGGAGCCAGCATTTTTGTCATTGTCCCCATGTGATATCAGTAAAGGAACGGTGGCCCCTCCCTTTTCAGCCAGTGTGGTATCAGCAGAGGCCTAATGGGGAACCTGAACTCCCTCCCTCGCCCATCAGTAATGAGGCAGCCCTCCCCACCAGGTGTCAGTGGAGGCCAAGCATGGAACCTGGGCTTCCACTCCCACCTGCCAGCGATGAGATGACATCCCCCGTTCCCCACCAGAACAGTGTACGAAAGGCCTGCTAAAACAGATTTACATAGGATCCAGAGTCTCATAAAATTATATTCAGAATGGCCACGTGCAATAGGAAATCACTTGTCATATCAACAAACAGGAAAATCTCAACTTGGAAGAGGCTATCAACAGACACCAACACCAGCTGGGCATGGTGGCTCATGCCTGCAATCACAACACTTTGGGAGGCTGAAGCAGGAGGATCGCTTGATCCCAGGAGTTTGAGACCAGCTTGGGCAACATGGTAAAACCCCATCTCTACAAAAAATACAAAAATCAGCCGGCCAAGGTGGCACATACCTGCAGCCCCAGCTACCCAGGATGCTAAGGTGGGAGGGTCACGTGAGCCCAGGAGGTTGAAGCTGCAGCGAGCCATGATTGTGTCATTGCACTCCAGCCTGGGTGACAGAGTGAGACTGTCTCAAAAAAAAAAAAAAAAAAAAATTAAAACAGATACCAACACCAAGATGACAGAGATGCTGGAATTGTCTGACAAGGATTTAAAAGCAGCCATACTACGGAACGAGTGATTATGAACATGCTTGAAACAAATGAAAAAACAGTAAGTCAGCAAGGAAATCAAATGTTTCAGCAAAGATATAGAAACCTCAGGAAAGAAACTCAAGACATAAAAAAGAACCAAATGGAAATTTTATAAATGAAAAATACAATAAACAAAATTTAAAAATCACTGGGTGAGCCTCAACTGTAGAATGACAAGGACAGAGAAAAGAATCAGTGATCTTAAAGATGATATAATAGAAAATGCTCAATCTGACCAACAGAGAAAAAGTAGACTAACAAAAAATAAACCTCAAAGACCCATGAGAAGACAACAACAGATCTAACATTCATGTCATTGGAACCTTAGAAGGAAAAGAGAAAATGTAGGGCTAAACAAGAACGTAAAGAAATAAGGGCTGGCTGGGAACAGTGGCTCATGCCTGTGGTCCCAGCACTTTGGGAGGCTGAGGCAGGCAGATCACCTGAAGTCAGGAGTTCAACACCAGTCTGACCAACATGGTGAGACCCCATCTCTACTAAAAATACAAAAAATTAGCTGGGCGTGGTGGTGCACACCTGTAATCCCAGCTGCTTGGGAGGTTGAGGAAGGAGAATCACTTCAACCCAGGAAGCAGAGGTTGCAGTGAGCCGAGATCATGCCACTGCACTCTAGCCTGGGCAAGAAGAGCAAAACTCTGTCTCAAAAAAAAAAAAAAAAAAGAAAAAAAAAAAAGAAATTTCCAAAAGTTGGCAAAAGACACAAACCTACAGATTCAAGATGCTGAGCAAACCCCAAATAGGACAAACTCATAGAAATTCATAATCATCTGCTGCCCAGATGCATTATAATCAAACTTCTAAAAACTAAAGACAAATGAAAATTCTTAAAAGTAGCAAGAGAAAAATGACACTTACAGGGGAAAAACAATTCAAATGATAGAGTTCTCATCAGAAATCAAGAAGATCTGAAGAAAGTATCACAACTTTTCAAGTGCCGGAAGAAAAGAATGGTCCATCCTGAATCCTATATCCAACAAAAATATCCTTCAGAAACGAAGAAGAAATCAAGACATTCTCAGATAAGAAAACTAATAGAATTTGTTTCCAGCAGACTACCTCAAAAGGATGACTACAGAAATTGTTCTAAGTAAAGAAATGACAAAAGAAGGAATCTTGGAACAAGAAAAACAAAAGAACAGTGTTAAAATCTGAGTAAATACAAAAGACTTTCCTTTCTTCTTGAGTTTTCTAAGTTGTGGTTGGCAACCAAAAATCATAACATTGTCTGCTGTGGTCTGAAAATATATGGAAGAGATATTTAAGACAATTATACTATATACGGGGGAGGGTAAATTAGGGACTTAAATAAGGTAACGTTTCTTTATTTCACGTGGTCTGGTAAAATGTCAACACCAGTAGACTGTGTTATGTATATACAATGGTGATTAAATAGTTCTAAAGTATCTTGAGTGACAGCGTTTGCATATCTACATGTAATATCTACATGTGATAAAATAGCATGGAACTATATACACACAGTATCAATGTCAATTTTCTGCTTTTGCTATTGCACTATAGTTATTCAACTACATATATAATATAGGAGTGTCATCAGCTTCTTTGCTATTGCACTATCGTTATATCTGCAGTTATATATCTTCTTTCTGGGAATACTAGGTGCGCTCTCATGCATCCAATCACTGCTCAGTTATATAGTTATATATACAGTTATATCAATATGATATAGTTAGTCATTGGGAAAAACTGGGTGTAAGAGGTATACAGAACTGCTCTGTACAATTCTTGCAAATTTTGTGAATCTGTAATTCTTTCAAAATTGTTTTCTTTTAAAACAAAAAGATTCTCATCCTGCATAAACTGACCGCTGAAGCAGATCACTTTCCAAAATTACAAAGTCTTTATTAAAAACACACACAAAAATCGTGGCTACCTCTAGAGTTGGCGGGGATTGGAGGACTGAGGGCTAGAGGTGGGAGGAGACTGATTTTCACTGTATAACTTTTTAAATATATTCTACATTTTGTGTCATATTACATGAATTATCCACTAAAAATAAATAAAATAATTTGATCAAACATGGCACCATAATCGGAGCCATTTTATTGCTGTCTAGAATAGGTCAAAGTTAACTCAGCTAGAGAGAATCGCAAATACTCCTCTTCGGTCTCACGTGCACTTGTCCTTCTCCACTAAGAAGCTGATGAGACTCCTCTTCCTGGGAACACTGGGTGCCCTCTCATGCATCCAATCACTGATCAGAACACTGGGGCAGTGTTCTTCCAAAGTTCACTTCATAAAACTCACCCGGGTAGCTTGGTAAAAATGCAGATGTCCAGGCTCTAAGCCAAAAGATCCTATTCTGTAGGTCATTAGGAGACCCAGACACCTGCACTTTCAACAAATCCCTTATATGAATAGGTTTACAGCCTGTCCTGAGGGAGTCCACAGATCCATGGGAGAGGGGTTGATTTACAGTTAAAGTCAATGTGCTTACTACCCTGTAGGAGGCCCCAACTTGCACCAAGGGTCACAAAAGGGCAAGTGACCAATCTGCCTAGGGATGTGGCATCTTGAAAGCTGAGTGTGCATGTGTTTGTGTGTGTCAGTTCCTCCAGCAAAGGGAGCATGTGTAAGGAAGGTTATGGGGACAAGAAAGTACAATTTTTTTTTTAATTTTAAAAATAATAGGGGCTGGGTGCGGTGGCTCACGCCTGTAATCCCAGCACTTTGGGAGGCCGAGGCAGGTGGATCACGAGGTCAGGAGATGGAGACCATCCTGGCTAACACGGTGAAACCCCGTCTCTACTAAAAATACAAAAAATTAGCCGGGCGTGGTGGTGGGCGCCTGCAGTCCCAGCTACTCGGGAAGCTAAGCCAGGAGAATTGCTTGGACCCGGGAGGCAGAGGTTGCAGTGAGCCCAGATCACACCATTGCACTCCAGCCTGGGCGACAGAGCGAGACTCCATCTCAAAAAAAAGAAAAAAGAAAATAGGGCTGGGATCTCACTTTGTTGCCCAGGTTGGTCTCACACTCCTGAGCTCAAGTGATCCGCCTGCCTCAACCTCCCAAATAGCTGGGATTACAGGCATGAGCTACCGTGCCTGGTCACAAATTATTTTAATGAAGATCAAATGGATAAAGGCAGTCAGAATGTGGAGGCAGAGGCGGGCACTGCGATAAGATGGTAAGAGCTGTCTACCTCATTTTTTTTTTTTATAATAGCAAATAATACTAAGATGACCTAAAGTTTCCATCCACAAACGAATGATTAAATAATTGACAGTGCATAATAGTTAAGTAAATTATGCCATCTCCACTCCACAGAATATTAGAATATTATGGACAGCAAGGAGATACTGTTGGAAAAAGTATAGATTTTAGAGCAAGGTAATAATTCTATTACTTACTAGCCTGGTAAACTAAGGCAAGTTATTTCACTTCTCTGAACCTAATTTACCTTATGTGCAATATGGGGATATATAATACTCTTCTTTCCAGAGCTGTTATGGGATATGGGATAACCTTTGTAACTTGTCTGACATATTCAATAAACATTAGGTAATTTTCTAAAATTACAAACTCTTTATTAAAAACACACACAAAGTCAGGCAAGATGGTTCATGCCTGTAATCCCTGCACTTTGAGAGGCCGAGATAGGCGGATCCCTTGAGCTCATGAGTTCGAGACCAGCCTAGACATCATGAAAAACCCCATCTCTAAAAAAAAAAAATACAAAAATGAGCCGGGTATAGTGAGGTTGGGGGAGGAGGGGGCACCTGTAGTCCCAGCTACTCAGGAGGCTGAGGTGGGAGGATGGCTTGAGCCCAGGAGGCACAGGTTGCAGTGAACTGAGATCAAGCCACTGCACTCCAGCCTGGAGCCAGACCTTGTCTCAAAACACACACACACACACACACACACACACACACTCTTTCTAGTGGTTACCTCTAGAGTTGGCGGGGATTGGAGAACTGAGAGATAGAGGTACGAGGAGACTAATTTTCACTGTGCAATATCACTGATTTTCACTGTGCAATCATTGCTGTGGTTTTTGTTTTAAAATTTTTGAAGGCCATATTGCAACATGGAAAACAGCTTATAATAAAATGCTAAGTGAACCAAAAAAGGCTAGAAAATTGTTGAGCTTTCCAAATGGGGACTTACAGGAATCCTAAATAGTGTCACAGTGCCACTAACAGTCCAAATTTATTGTACCCTTACCACATCTGCTGACATAGGATTCCAAGCTTCTGCAAAGTCTCCTCAAGTACTTCTAAAGGTCCTCAGAGGGGTCTCTGAAGGGGTCCAGCAAGGCTCCAGGTAGCATCTTACAGCTTTCTTTCTCAAGTTTCTCAGCACTCTTGCCTAAGTTGTCTCTCCACCAAATCCTGCAGCCTGTCACAGCCCATTCCTCTGTGGAATACCCAGGCCCCTACTGCCTCAGAGAATGGGCATCTTAGAAGTGCTCTAAACCATGAGACTGTCTATGACAAAGCTGGAAAAACTTACCCTACTTTTCATGCTCCATGCAGTTGAGGGTGATGAGCAGCAAAGTCAATGTATCTTATAGTCCATTATCTTGTAGTATGTAGTGAAAATGACTTTGAGTGTTTACCCACAGACAGCCATTTTGCCCCCTAGGACACAAACCCAACAGAGAATGGCAGGAATGTTAAGTCAGAGATCATCCAAATGTCACCTGTCACACCTAGTCAGAATAACTTTTCGCTCAGGGGATGAGGACATTGTATTTGACCACATTTGTTTGCCTGATTCCGTTCCTTAGCTTGGGTTCTTTCCCAGGAGGCTCCCCAGGTCTTAGGAGACTCCTAGCTGCCTACCCTGCCAGTTGTGCCCACAGATGACTAAGCGCAAGTAATAAGCATAGCTTAGAAACCAGATGGAAACCTCGCTCCCACTTCAATGCAAGACTGTGGTTACAGCCATGTGTAAAAGAAAACCCAATGCCCAGATTCTCCAATACAAGGAACCAGTGTAACTTTAGAAACATGATTGATTCTAAAATCTGAAGCAGGCAAAATACAAGAGGAACCCAAAGCATTTCATAGTACCAGAAAGTAAGGACAGGCTCAAAAAGCTAAGAGGTAGTGTTGGGGGAAGAGAGATGAAAAAAGGAAAGAAAACTAAAACAAGAAAACCAAACAGAAATACAATTTTTAAAAAGACTAGAAGGAAATATGTTGAAATTGTAGGAATGGTCGTCTTAAGGTAGTTAGACTATAGGCAATTAATTCTCTTTTTCTATTTTTTATTATTCCGACATGGTCCTATCAGCTTTAAAATGGAAACCATTTATAAATTAGTGATATTTTAAAGTAGAATCGCCATTCGTGGTAGCCATTTGAAAACAGACAGAGGGGAAAGAAGTGATGAAGGAGGAACTGAAGGTCCAGCTTCTGCACCTGTGGGCTTGGTAGTGCCCATAACGGAGGGAGAGAACAAAGGGGAAGAAGAGAGACGAGAGGAGACACCTAGGTCAACGAGGCACATGTTTCATCAGGAAGGCCTCTGAAGATCAGATGTGTCCTGCAAGCAAATGGAAATTTGAGTCTCAAGCACTGGAAGGACATCAAGGATAGGGTAGAAAATTTCCTCAGAGGAAATGAACAGAGTTGTGAGAGTAGAAGTGTACTGGAATTAAATACAACAATGGAACATTCAGTAACAGTGGGAAATTTTATGTTTATGTCGTCTTAAATCCTATTAGGGAAAAAAATGGTGATTCAACCATTAATAATGTATTTCTTTTCTCTCCCTTGCCACAAAAGCCTCTAGTCAGACAGGAGATGTTTCAGAAAGGATTACTTTTGTTGATCATTATTCTGATTTTTTGTGGGAGAAACTCCTCCTTCATATTTCATCAGTAAAATTTCTGCACATTCTATTCTTATTTGGGGATAATATGTTCTCAAGAGATTAAGCTGTATTCTTACTAAATCAGTTATAAGTACCTGTACAGAGCTGAGTGTGATGGCAGTCACCCGTAGTCCCACCTACTTGGGAAGCTGAGGTAGAAGGAGTTCAAGACCAACCAGGCAAAATAGCAAGACCCTATCTCTAAAAAATAAAAATTAAAAAAAAGACAAGTATTTGTGCAACTTCAGAAGACTCATTCATTTTACAAAGAATAAGATTGGTAATGATGGCTAAATAAAAGCTTATTTATAGACTGTGAGCATGTGATGGAGGGAAAAAAAAGAAATAAATATTTCATAAGTATCTTCTAAGGGCCATCCAGTGTTAGGTATTTCATACCTGTGATTTCATTTGGTCTTCACGATCACCCTGTGATGCAGGAATTATTATTTTGTTCCATAGGTAAGGAAACTGAGGACAAGAAGGTTCAATAATATTCACTCTAGATCAGGTTGTATCCTTTTCTTTTTAGTGTTTGAGGTCGTATTTCTTGGAGGTTAGTACAGACAGCCTGCATGTAGCTTTTCTTTTGCATATAAATCCACTTCCTAGTGTCCTTCCTGATCACCTGGGTTGGTTACCTATATATTTATCATTGTGCTGCTCTATATATGACACAGATGCAACTGTTTTGACCCCAACTGCTCATCCAGGAGGGGAAAAGAGATAATATGACCCAGGAAGAAATCATAAAGTTAGTTAGTTTCCTGAGTAAAAAAGCTTTCAGGCATAACTCAGTTCAAACATGGTCTTTTCCACAAAAATCAAGAGACTTCGACAAATCTCTCCAACCATACCAACAGAGGAAAAATAATCATACCGCAGAATTGGACAGCATGATAATATGTAATGCAGTTGCACATAAAGTACAAAGAGGAATAATCAATGGTGTAGTCAGTATTGTTGCTAAATATTTAACTTTGAGCAACGGCAGAGTGACAGAATTCTTTGTAATTAATCATCCCACGGTACCTACTTTTGAAAAAGAGAATTGACCCAAGGAAAAAGATTATCCTGGAAAACAGGCCAATATAGAATTGCAGAACAAGGCAACAGAAGAGGAGAACTGGAACCAGAACTAAAATATGGGGTCTGGATTATTTGTCTTGCTGTTGTTGCTGTTGCTGTTGTTGCTGTTGCTGTTGTTGTTGCGTTGTTGTTTACCATGCCAGGTTATGAGTTTCATTAATGACCTGGCAAGGAAGACTTGGCCACTAGCATCAGAACTACTTTAGAGTAGATACAATGTTTATACAGCCCGTACGTGTCCATGTGATTCACTTTCATAAGCCTCAGTTCTTCGCATGTTATCTGATGGACAATGATTTGAAGCACTGCCTTACCTACCAGCTGCCACCGGCCAGCCAACAGCCCAGTTTCCATTTCATTTAGGCATTCTAGTGAGACTTTAAATAATTCAAGGTAGAACTAATCAGTTTATACGAAAATTGGAAGAAGCACTTAGGGAAAGATACTTTGGAATTTCAGGCAAGTAAAGGGAAAGTGTTTCTATTCCATTCCATTTGCCTATTTGTCTCTTCTTTTGTCAATACCACACTGCCTTGATCATTGTAGCTTTATAAGAAGTCTGAAGGCTGGGCATGGTGGCTTACGCCTATAATCCCAGCACTTTGGGAGGCTGAGGCGGGAGGATCACTTAAGGTCAGGAGTTCAAGCCCAGCCTGGCCAACATGGCGAAACCCTGTCTTTACTTTAAAAAATACCAAAAAAAAAGATCAGCTGGGTGTGGTGGCACACGCTTGTAATCCCAGTTACTGGGGAGGCTGATGCAGGAGAATCACTTGAACCTGGGAGGTGGAGGTTGTGGTAAGCTGAGCACTATTGCACTCCAGCCTGGGTGACAGGGCAAGACTCCGTCTCAAAAAAAGAAAAAAAAAAAAAAAAAATAAAAGTCTGGAATTCAGGTAGTCTGCGTCTTTTTTTTTTTTTTTTTTTTTTTCTCTCCGTTTAAGTATTGTGTTAGCGAGTCTGGATCTTTTGCTTCTCCATATAAACTTTACAATTAATTTCTCGATATCCACAAAATAAATTGCTGGGATTTTTATTGGGATTGCATTAAATCTATAGATCAAGTTGGAAAGAATGCAAATCTTTGTACTGAATCTTCCTATCCATTAACTTAATTTATCTCTCCATTTATTTAGTTGTTCTTTGATTTGTTTAATCAGAGGTTGTAGTTTCCCTCACAGAGATCTTGTATGTATTTCACTGGATTTATACCTAAGTATTTCTTTCTTGGGGTATGATAACATAAATGGTGTTATGATTTTTATTTCAAATTCCAACTGTTCATTGCTGATATATACGAAAGTGGTTGAGTTTTGTCTATTAATCTCGTCTCCTACAAACTTGCTGTAATAACTTCTCAGTTCCAAGAGGTTTCTGTGGGTTCTTTGGGATTTTTCTACAAAGACAGCTTATATCATCCGTGAGCAAAGACAATTTTATTTCTCCTTCCCTGTGCTCCTTTTATTTCTTGCTCTTTTTTATTGCTTTACTTCCGGGACAACGTTAAAAAGAAGTGGTGAGAGGAGATATCCTTTTCTTGTTTCCGATCTCAACTGAAAACCTTCTAGTTTCTCACCAGTAGGTATCATGTTAGCTATAGTTTTTTGGAATTTCTATAATTTATAGAAATTCGCATAATTTCTTCCTTTAATTTTTGGTAGAATTCACCAGCAAATTTATCTGAGCCTTGCGCTTCCTATTTTGGAAGAATATTGATTACGGATTCCATTTCTTAAATAGATAGAGTCTTATTCAGATTGTCTATTTCTTCTTGTATGTTTTGGCAGATTGTGTTTTTCAAAAACTTGGTCATTGAAAGCTCATTGTTGTTTGTATTAAAACAAAACAAAACAAATAATCAAAAAAGTTGGTCCATTTTATCTAGGTTGTCAAATATGTGGGCTAGTTATTCCTAGAAATAAAGTATTTCTTTATTTCTTTTTTTTTTAATGTCTGTGGATCCGTAAAGGATATCCCATCTTTCATTTCTGATTTTCGTAATTTGTATCCTGTCTCTCTCTCTCTCTCTTTCTTTTTTTGTTTGTTTGTTTTGTTTCGTTTCTCACTAGAGGTTTATTGACTTAATTGATCTTTTCAAAGAATCAGCTCTGGGTTCACTGTTTTTTCTCTTGATATCCTGTTTTCAATTTCATTGATTTCTCTTCTAATTTTTATCATTTCTTTTCTTCTGCTTGCTTTGGATTTAATTTGCTCTTCTTTTTCTAGTTAAGCTCAGATTACTGATTTTAGATCTTTCTTCTTTTCTAATATACACATTCTATGCTATAAATTTTCCTGTAAACATTGCTTTCACTGCATTTCATAAATGTTGACATGTTGTATTTTCATTTAGTTCAAAGCATTTTAAAATTTCTCTTGAGATCTCTTTTTTGACCTGTGCCTTATTTGGAAGTGTTTTGTTTAATCGTCACATGTTTTTAGATTTTGCAGATACCCTTCTAGCTTAATTTTATTGTGGTCTGACAGCATATATTGCATGATTTCTATTCTTTCAAACTTGTTAACGTGCGTTTTGTTGTCCAGAATGTGGTCTATCTTCGTGAATGCTCCATGTGAGCTTGAAAAGCATCTGTATCTTCTGTTCTTGGATGAAGTATTCTACACATGTCAATTACATTCAGTTGATTGATGGTATTATTGAGTTCAACTTATGTCCTGACTGATTGCCTGCTGAATCATTACTGATAGAGTGATGCAGAAGTCTCCAACTACAGCAGTGAATTCATCTATGTCCTCTTTCAGTTCTTTCAGTTTTTGTCTCACATGTTTGACGCTGTTATTAGGTGCATACATAGTAAGCTTTGTTACAGCTTCTTAAACTATCCATGCCCCCTGTTATCAAAATATTCCCTCTATTTTTGTTTGTCTGAGAAAGTATTTATTTCTCCTTTACTTTTGAAGGACAATTTCACAAAATACAGAATTCTAGGCAGATGGATTTTTTTTTCTCTCTCAATACATTAAATATTTCACTTCACTCTCTTCTTGCCTCCATGGCCTCTGAGGTTAAAGTCAAAGGTAATTCTTATGTTTGCTCCTCTATAAATAAGGTCTTTTTTAATCCTCCTGGCTTGTTTCAATATTTTTTCTTTATCTTTGATTTTCTGGAGTTTAAGTATGAAATACCTAGGTGTAGGTTTTGGCACTTATCCTGCTTTGTACTCTCTGAGCATCCTGAATCTGTGGTTTGGTGTCTGACATTAATCTGGGGAAATTCCAAGTCATTATTGCTTCAGGCATTTCTTCTACTCCATTCTCTCTTTATTCTCATTCTGGTATGTTCATTACACATACATTATACCTTTTATAATGGTCCCACAGTTTTGAATATCCTGTTCTTTTTTTTAATCTTTTTATCTTTGTCTTTTAGTTTTAAAAGTTTCTATTGATACACCCTGAAGCTCAGTTTTTTTTCTCATCCAAGTCCAGTCTACTAATAACCCCCTCAAAGGCATTATTCATTTCTGTAACAGTGTTTTTGATCTATAGCATATCTTTTTATTCTTTCTTAGAATTTTGATATCTCTGCTTATATATTAGTCATCTATTTTTGCATGCTGTCTACTTTGATCGTTAGTGAAATTACCTCATTAATCATGGTTATTTTAAATTCCTAGTCTGAAAACTCCAACATCCTTGCCATACCTCAGTCTGGTGCTAATGTTTGCCTTCTCACCTCAAACTGTGTTTTTTGCCTTTTCAAATTCAATTTTATTTTACCCCATAGGTGGGACAGGATGACTAAAGGTGGCTGGAGTTGGATATCTCTCTCCTCCCAGGTCACTTAGACTCTGACAAAACTCCCAGGTCAGGTTAGGCTCAGGCTTGTTAAGAAGAATAGAGTAGTCCGCCTGTAATCCCAGCACTTTGGGAGGTGGAGGTGGGCGGATCACAAGGTCAGGAGATCAAGACCATCCTGGCTAACATGGTGAAACCCCATCTCTACTAAAAATATAAAAAAATTAGCCAGGCATGGTGGCGGGCACCTGTAGTCCCAGCTACTCGGGAGGCTGAGGCAGGAGAATGGTGTGAACCCGGGAGGCGGAGCTTGCAGTGAGCCAAGATCGTACCACTGCACTCCAGCCTGGGAGAAAGAAGAAGAAGAAGAAGAAGAAGAAGAATAGGGTTGTCTAGCTTACTTCAAAATGTCTGCTTTTCTCCCACTCCTGCCAGAGCGTAAGGGGCTGTTTGAGATTCACTGTGAGAACCTGGTTCAGCTCCTGGAGGTAAAACTCATAGAAGTGTACGTAGTCCCCTAATATCTGACAGCCCTGGAGATTTTAACTCTCAGACTTGTCCACACTGAGTCTCCAGCAATTCATCCACTGCAGTTTAGGTTTTCCTATCCCAGTACAGGTCCCCTCATAGGTTTCTGCTTGTGGGTTTGAGACAGACACTGCCCGTCTGTCTCTCCCATTTTGGTGGCAGTGGTTTGCCCTGTGGGCTCAAATTTCTGAGAGAAATTTGAATAAGAAGAGCTGTTGATTTTCACTTTGTTCATTTTTTTTTTTTTTTTCAGATGGAATCTTGCTCTTGTCACCCAGGCTGGAGTGCAATGACACGATCTCAGTTCACTGCAGCCTCTGCCTCCCGGGTTCAAGTGATTCTCCTGCCTCAGCCTACCGAGTAGCTAGGATTACAGGCATTCACCACCACACCTGGCTAATTTTTGTGTTTTTAGTAGAGACGGGATTTCTCCATGTTACCCAGGCTGGTCTCAAACTCCTGACTTCATGATCCGCCCACCTCAGCCTCCCAAGTGCTGGGATTACAGGTGGACTACTCTATTCTTCTTAACAAGCCTGAGCCTAACCTGACCTGGGAGTTTTGTCAGAGCCTAAGTGACCTGGGAGGAGAGAGATATCCAACTCCAGCCACCTTTAGTCATCCTGTCCCACCTATGGGGTAAAATAAAATTGAATTTGAAAAGGCAAGAAACACAGTTTGAGGTGAGAAGGCAAACATTAGCACCAGACTGAGGTATGGCAAGGATGTTGGAGTTTTCAGACTAGGAATTTAAAATAGTCATGATTAATACGGTAATTTCACTAACGATCAAAGTAGACAGCATGCAAAAATAGATGACTAATATATAAGCAGAGATATCTAAATGATTGTTAGGACAGGGTGATGACCCTTAAGCTTCTCACATGTTGAACCAGAAATTACACATCCAATCTGTTTTGGAAAACAAAATCTTGTTGGAATACATAAATGAATGAGTAGTTGTGACAGAGTCCTTATGACCCAGAAAGCCAAAAATGTTTACTATCTGGTCTGCCACAGAAAACACTTGCTCACCCCTGGGCTACATTAGATAAAAAGGCAAGGCTCAACTATATTCTGCTTACAATAGACTTTTTTTAAATTTTATCTTTTCTTTCCAACTTTTATTTTGGGTTCAAGGGTGCATGTGCAGGTTTGTTATATGGGTAAATTGCATGTCACAGGGGTTTGGTGTGCAAATTATTTTGTCACCTAGATAATAAGCCTGGTACCCAATAGGTAGTTCTTTGATCCCCACCAAGAGGCTCATCTTAAATATAAGACACAAGTGTGTCAAAAGTAAAAGATTTGTAAAA